ACTTATCCGGGTATGACCAAGGGAAATTGCAATACTTACTTCAGGGTTTTATTGAAGGTTTCGATCTTGAATATGAAGGAAAAAGAGAATATCAATTTAGTCTAAATCTTAAATCCGCAATAGAAAAGAAAGATGTAGTTACTGATAAGATCTTAAAAAACTGCAAGCAGGTCGCATTGAAGGTTCTTTCTCTGACCTTCCTTTTCAATCTATTAAAATCTCTCCTTTAGGAATGGTACCAAAGAAAACACCTAATTAGTTTAGAATGATCCATCATTTGTCTTTTCCCGATAAAAAAGTTGGTTCCGTTAATGCAGGTATTTCTGATGCAGCTGCATCAGTGCAATATGCAGGGATAAATGATGCCATTTTAGGCGTCAAAGATATTGGTGATACAGCTTTTTGTTGTAAAACTGATATCAGATCAGCTTTTAGGATATTACCGGTTAGGCCAGAAGACTGTGAACTCTTGGGTTTTTATTGGGAGGGTAAATATTACCATTACACGCTGAGTTTGGACTTTCAGTAAGGCGTGGCATTCTCGACGTTACCTAATTAGCTTCTGAAATTTACACAGCTTCCCATCACTGTTGAAATATACATATGATAGAAATGCGGCCGAATGTCAACTGGTGTAGTAAATAGCCAATTAAAAGTTCTCTCACGGCACAGAGGTGGGGCATAAGTCGTCTCATCTTTATCAACAACAATTTTAAGTTCCTGATGTTATTAATTTCGTAACCAATGAGAATCTACTAGTATTCGCTATTACGTAGCGCCGAGAAAGTCACGCCTACTGAAAGTCCAAAGTAAGGGTAAAATCCTCTTATTACTATGACAAATGTATTCCAATGGGATGTAGAACAAGCTACAAAATTTTTGAAGAGTTCAGTACAACTATTGAATGGATTGCTCGCATCTAACTAGGTATCACACATGTAGTTAACATTTTAGACGATTTTCTTTTCATTGAGAAATCAAAACCCTTAGCATTAAACAAAGAGCCATAGCTGCCTTACCGACGACTCGGCCTACTCAAGTATTTAAAAGGAAATCACCTGTTTCTATTTATAGATACATGTACCCTTTCAATGCAAAATCAAACTACATGTATCAGGGACCTTTATACTAGTATATAGGTCCCTGCATGTATGTAATCATTTGTGAACCAGTGTTATATTTTCATAGTTGCAAGTTTGTTGCATGACAGTAATTTTACTTTTCCAATACTTATTCTGAACAAGATTGTTTGAAAATTAAAAAAAAAACAGGCTAGCAGCTATGACTTTGAGTCATTAAAATAGTTTAAGACTGTTTTTCCCCAAGATACTTTCAATGTGTAATGTTTTATTATATATCTCTTTTAAAAATCATTTATACATGTATGTATTATAAAATAAAAAAGAAAACAAAGGAAAATGCACACAGAGAAAAAAAATAAAATCGAAGTTAAATAACAATCACTGTGAGACTCGAACTCACGATCATTATGTCTTCAATCCAGCAATCATACCACTACGCCACAAAGTCTTAGTAATCAAATAGATAAAATTAAGACAGATTGTTGAATTTAGAAATAATTTTAGAAGAAAAATTAAATGCATATTTTCAACATTTTCAATACGAAGACCACCTTTAACCAAAATTATCTAAACGTAATGAAGTGCAGTCATATCCAAATAAAATTATTCAGAAGTTGTTTTTCTGGTTAAGGGTGGTCTTTTCCTACAGTTTGTCATTGTTTAGGGGAGTACCTTAGTATTTACTATATTCTCCATATAAACTGAACGATGTTTTATAACTATTATAAGAGGGAAGTATTAATAATTGAGTATTATTCTTGTGTGAGTTGCTTTAAGGCATGTATAAACTAACATTGTGTGACAAAATTTTGGTTAAATAATGTATTTAAAAAATCACTACTAGAGTAGGCGAAAGTGACTATCAAATGCGCTATGGCTCTTTAAGCAATTTTTGGATATTTGTTAAGATATAGGAATTCCATTAGCAGCAGATAAGACTGTATTTCCCACTCAAGTTATTGAATTTGTAGGTATTACAATTGACGTTAGGCTAAGAGAAACACGATTGCCTACAGACAAGGTTGAAAAATGCCAGCATTTGTTGTCCCAATATTAACACAAGAATAAATGTTCACTGAAAGAAATGCAATCCTTGATAGGGGTACTTAACTTTGCGTGCTCTGTCATTTTGCCGGGCCGAGCTTTTTTAAGGCGGTTTATTAACCTTACAATGCAAGTTTCAGAAAATCAGGAATTTTTAAAAATAAGCAAGGAATGTAAGGACGATATGGCACTTTGGTTGACTTTCTTAAATACTTATAATGGGAAAACTATGTTTTTAGATGAAAAGTTTATTTCTAGCTACGTCTGTATACCGATGCAGCGCAATCAAAAGGTTTTGCAGGCGTTTATTATACTCAGTATTTTTTCGGAAGTTTTCCGGAACGTTGGAGAGATATTAACATCATGACATTAGAATTTTACTCCATTATATTATCTATAGCGATTTGGGGAAAGTCGTGGGCCAATCATTCAATTTTATATTTTACTGACAATGAAGCTTTAGTGGCAGTAATAAATAAGCAGACGAGTTGGGAGGTATATGTAATGCAAATGGTTAGGTTCATGGTGTTACAATGCTTAAAACACAACATAGTTTTCAGAGCTAAGCATATTCCAGGAAAAAAGAATTTTTTAGCAGATAGTCTCTCTCAGTTACAGGTCACAGAATTTCACCGCTTGGCACCATATGCTCAAAAACACCCAACAGACATACCGGAGGAACTGAAACCAGAAAACTTTTGGAAAACATTACAGACCTTACAGTGGCAGCTTTAGAACCTTCCACACAAGCTACATATAGAAGAGCATGGACCGTTTTGAATTCGTTCTGTGCCAGTTACAGCATTAATTTTCAAGTAATATACCAACTAGTATGACTAATATGGCGTTATTTGTATCTTATTTGTTTACACAATCCTTTTCCCCTAAAACAATCTCTACTTATTTATCAGCTATAAGTTATTTGCACAAAATAATGGGACTTTCAGATCCCGTCCAAACATTTTTTATTCAAAAACTTGTTGCAGGAGCATATAGGTTAGGAAATACCTTTGACATCCGATTACCCATTACCCATCAAATTTTGAATCAGATTCTTGATTGTGTTCCCCAGGCACTGTCGGATAAATATGATCAAAAACTGTACAATGATATTTTATGCTAGTAAAATTATTTTAAGTTAAGTTTCATGTATTATACGTTAATTAGTATTTCCCCACTTTGTGCCTCTTTATCTGTAAACCCGTGGGGACCCCCCGGTAATTTTATCCTTTTGAGATAATAGAACTAGCATCATTATATCTACTGCTATTGTAAAGACAAGACGGCCAAACATTTGCTGAAATATTTTTTGGATTACCCACCTCCATCCCCAAACAGACTTTAACTGTACATTAGGCCACCTCAAGCTCATATGTCTCTGTTTTCATTGTAAATAATTCTTTTTATATGTATATTATATTGTTCATCATATCCTATGTATGCCAAATAATGGAATTTTGAGCCAATTCATATGTATAAGGCCCTATTTTGGAGGCCACCTATTTTGCCAAATTATATAATATGTTATGTAATAGTCACATACTGGGAGACTAATTGTTATTGCATAATTGTTTTATAATTTTTCTCAGGAATTGCGTTTTAAGGTTACATTGTCTCCCAGTCTTTTTTATTCAGTTTTATGTATTATATTATATGTTGTCATTTCATAATAAATGACATATTTTTGGAACAAACATGTCTTGCGTTATTTGACAAAAAACAAGCTCAATGTTGTCAGACTGGTGTTTAATTCAAGGAATGAAAGCTGAACTTAAAGGCTAGTTTTCTTTTTGCCTTTTCAGCCTTTGCCCGAATAGGAGAATTAATTTGCTCATCATCAGATACAACTGAAGTTGTTCAGCTGTCGAATGTTAGCTTTACAAAAGAAAGAGGAGTTGTTACTAAAGCTACTGTTTGTTTTAAAATGTATAAACACAATTCAGCAGGTCTTCCAAAATATATCACTTTCTCTCACGGGGATTGCAAACTCGTCGGCCAAACCGGAAGTAGTCGGGAAACGCGTATTTTTGCCGTTTTTGACAAGTTTTTGGGTAATATATGTCTCTGGGAGCTTAAAAATTAATTTTCCGTGCGTCGTCGTCACTTCCGGTCAAACCGGAAGTAGCAAAAAATGACTTATTTTTGCATTAATTAACATAGCTTTAGAGGATTCAAAGCATTTTTGGGCGTTATTTCTTATTTCTTATTTTGTGAAAAATGAAAGCTACTTCCGGTCAAACAGGACGGAAGACCTACTCGTTGCTTTGCAACGAGCTCGGCTCTAGTTTCTAATCACTTTTGCTATTAAGCCTTAGCTGTAAAACCTTCTTAATTGCACTACTGGGTCATGATGTGTATGCTGTGGCCTTGGTGGGGTAGTTGCGACGTACAAATCCTCTCAACTGGTGGGTTCTTAACCCCACCTGCTGCCACTAGTCGATTTTTGTGTAAATACACTTATCCTATAGTTGTTGGATACATGCTTTATAGATATTCATTATGTCATGCAGTTTTGTACATATCGAGCAGATATTGCCTTTCTTGTAAATTTAGTATTATTCTACTTTTTAGATTTCATGTGTGATATGTTTGCTGATTACTTATGTTCCTTTACATTGACAAATCCCTCCTTTCAGATACCGTAACTGCATTTGCAAATTTACATTGTAGCATACATTTTGATATAATGGAACTGTATTCACAATTTTACAATGTTTAATCCATTTTTCTGTAAGGAAACTGTAATTTGCATGTCAACATTTTGAAATCCATTTTGTTATACTGGAACTGTATTTTAAAAAGTTTGTTCAAGTTTATTATTTGATTTGATCAGAATGTTATCATATTTTGATCAATAAACTTTTTTCAACATACATGTGAGTTTGTCTAATTTGATGTGTAGGTAGGGAAAGAGGAGGCATAAATATTATTTCTTGTCAATATCCATTTAAGTGTATATTGTTAAAACAATATTTTTCAATCTCGAAAAGATTTTTGAACTTTTTTTTGCTTTTTTCACTATTTTTTGTTTTTTTTTTGTAGAAATCTGGTCCCTAAGAACATCAAAATTATGATTAAAAAAAAAAAAAAGGGAATACATGTAAGTTAATTTTTTTTCATTTAATAGAACATTCATAAAATGCATAAAAATGTACTGTCTTTGACATGCACAGACTTGTTCTTAATTTTCCTACCAACTGCTGTCATATACACCTGTTATGTAAGGTTTTGAATTTCAAAACAATCCATATTACCCCAGTTTAAATCTGCAGAAAGATCAATATTACCTTGGGTACTAACATGCATTTGTGCAAAACTGTATATCATAAAAACGAAAGTAGAATGATCGAATTGTTCCTTGACAAAATTTATTCTTTTAAAGTATGGCAATTTAACAGAAAACAATGCTTCATCCCTTATCTAAAAATTATAATTGCGTATAAAACTATTGCAATAAAATGTGCTTAATTGATTTCTTACCAATTTCGATGAATTTGAGTAATTACTGCATAAGTCGACCAAACTATTTTGAGCCAAAGCTACACATGTAAATAATGCTTTAAAAAGATAAATGAATATTTATCATGCTTCAGAAAAGTTGATTGTTAGTCAGTATGTAGAGAAAAACCCTAATATTAATCTCCGGTTGAAAATTTACACAATGTTTTTGAAAATTCTTGTCTTAGCAGTTGTCAAGAAAGATAATTAAAAATTGTTATATTCAAATCAAATTATTTATAATTCGGTTTTACACTATTAAATTTCATTTTTTCCAGATACAATTCACATAAATATTAAAAAAATGATTTTTTAAATAAAAAAATAACCAACCTGCTTGCTATGCAGTTACCCTGTCGCGCTCCGTTTAGCAAGCTCTTTGTGTAAGATTACATGCATATTGCTAGTAGTTAATTTCTGTGCCTCGATTCACCTTGTGAACAGAGGAGTGGATCAATCTTAATTATTTCATAACTATTTTATGTGACAAGAAAGTTAAATCTTTTAATATTTTGTGTAAGATGGATAATTGAAGAAAATGCTTAAAAATATATATAAATACTTTTTTAAAACTAAGTAATATGACGTGTCCTTCTTTACCCTTAACCAAAGTGAAAATATTTCATTGAATTTTCGGAAATAATAAAACCTAGTGATTATTTCAGAAAGATAATACATGTATTGGAATCAAAATATCTCTAGCAGATTGGAAAATAATGCTGAGGATTTAATCGAAAAACAAAGCTAAATGATTGGAATAAATATCGAAAATGGTTTAGCTGACGTTTAATTGAGAAGTTCATTGATCCAATCTGTTTAATTGAATCATACCACAATAAGATCTTAAGATACGGGATGTGTATAAAATATATGGATATAATGAACTGTATTAAAGTCCATTAAACATACAAAATAGGAGCAGAGCAAACACGGACCTCCAAAACATCAGAGTAGGGATCAGGTGCCATGGAGCAGTGAGCTTCCCCTGCCAACCGGTCACACCTGCCATGTGCTCCTTGTCATGATCGGGAAATAACGGGAACATTCCTCGACAATTGAGTGTAAAATGGTTTACATTGAATATGAAAAATCTGTCAGCATTTTGACTTAATTATAAATTGTATTTGCTGACAAGGTCATTGTATCGTCCATAAAACCATTGAATTTACGAAATCATGAATTTAAAAGAGACTGTTAATATTTATGTTTCATAAAATTGTTTGTAAATATCTTAATTTGCAGTGTTCAAATTCGATATCTAAACCGTAGTTTCAAGAAGTCGAATACTCTAAAAACTGATGCAAAGGCAAACTTAATTAGTAACCTAACAACAAAATTTAATTATATATGTGACTTCAACTCGTACACTTCCTTTACGTATGTAGCAATATATTCTTATTAGCCGCATGATTTTCCTAGTTGATTCGACTCAAAATGTAATAACGAAAAAGAAATAACCCCTGTGTATTCCATTTTGCGTTGTTATCATATTTTGCATTGCAACGATTTCTATGGTCATCATTTTACAAGTTCTGTGGTCGATACAATGACTTCATCAGCAAATGCAATCTATCATTATGGTAAAATGCCGACTGATTTTTCCCCCATACCAATTGTTAGACCATTATTTACACAGTGATTTACCTGATCATATGAAAATGAGTACCCGGCAGTTGTGACTTGTCGATAAGGATGGTGAGGTTTATCCCTGCATGTCACCCGATCCAGTCTTTGTTTTTTTTAAAATTCATGCAATGTCTTTAGTGTTCAAATATAGTTTAAGCTTGAATACATATTGTTATCTCCCTATAATCATTAGAATATAAAATAGGATAATCCTAAATAAGTCTATTATAGAGAAATTGTTTTGAATATACTCGATAAAACTATTGTGAAGCTTACTTATACAAGTTAAACAGTAATTCATACTTAATATAATAACACCGTACATGTTCTTATGCCATTTTTGTTATTCTTGAAACTTGTTGGTGATATATTCATAGATTTTTATGCTAACATTTTTCAAATTAATTCAAGAGATGCTTTTTTTTCCTTTGTAAAGCATGTTAAGAAAGATACAAAGCTAATTTTGGTGCTATATTAACATACTGTTGTAAACTTTAACATATAACAAAAAACTATAATATATGAAAGCTACCTTTATTGCATGAAACAAGGAGCCTGAAAATTTCAATTTAACTTGATTTATACTTTTTATGGAAGACTGCCTGTGACTTGTTTTAAAATTTGTAATCTTAAAATGCACATTGACATATCCATTTTGCACTGACAGTGCACATTTAGTGCGCTTTTTTATTTTTTATTTCAATAAAAGATTGACCTGCACTTGTAAAAAAATATAACAGCATCAAATAGGAATTAAATTTCTTTTGAACTGAAGAGATTTTAATTTCAATTTAAGATTAATGGTTTGAAAAAAAGATTTTCATATGTTCATTTCTTTTATATAAAAAGCTTGTTACAATGATATCTGTTCTGAATTCTACATGAGTGAGTTCTTAATAAGTTATAATCAGCTGAAATATAACATTATGTGAGCATTTCTAATTATTAGAATTGTCCAGAGTCCATCCGTCTTTCTATTTCTTAATCTTTTCTCTAGAACCACAGGTCTAATTTCAACCAACTTCCAAAACATCACCTATGACTGAAGGCAATAAAGTCTTCTCAAATGCAATATTAAACCCTATTTCAGAGGAAAATTATAATCAATAAATATTAAAATGTGCATGCGACTGTTTTTAGAGTTTCTTGAAGAGATGTACTGGGCTTGAAAATAAAACACTATGTTTTACATGTAAATTAGAATTTGTTCAAGTCATTGTAAAGAGGGGGATAGAGTATTTGTTACAGTAAGAGATCAAAGTTCTATTTAGGGTGATACAAAAAATTATAAGGCCAATTAAGGACCCCCGAGGAGCAAGCATGTAGCGAAAGAAGAAGGATCCAAATGAAAAATGCCTAAATATTAATATACATGCAAATAGATTTAAGAAGTATGTTGAAAAACAAAACTGACTTGTGATTTTTATTAATTTTATTCAAATCAACTACAGTACTAGGAAACAAATTGTTTTCGCGAATTTATTTTAAAAATATATTTTCACATCCACACTTAATTTTGAATATGGTCTGTAAAAAGGAAACAGAAAAAAGGATGAAATATGCAAACAACACACAAGTATCACTTCTATAATAAAGGTGCATCAAGTATTCAATTTTAATGAAACATTAAATCAATATGAGCTGCATATTTGACATCAAAAATACTGCAGAAAAAATGACAAAATGTTAGAAATGGATTTAGTTAGTGCAGATCAGACCTGTTGTTCTGAAGATAGGCTTCGAGAGGTATCAATAAAACCAATAAACCTTGCAAAATATCGATCAAAGTACTCATCTTTTGTTTCGAGAAGGAAACCTTCAGCAATTATATCCTGTTTTCAAGTCAATGGTAACAGTTAATGCCTACTATAAACAGGTAATAGTTTATTAAGACATATCAATTCTAGATTCTTTGTCATATATTAATTTGTTTAAACAATGGAATATATGAAAATAACGAACAGTACTAAAGAGGTGGGATCAGGTGCAATAGAGGAGTGAGGATCCCAGGTCGACCGGTCACTCCTGTCATGTGCTCCTTGTCATGATCGACAATACTTTATGAGAATAATAATGGCCTAACAATCAGTAAGAAAAACGTCAGACAATATAATACCCATTATAGTACATCGATCAAACGATCAAAACAGGTATGGAATTGTTTCATTTTAACTTGTTTAAAAGTTAAAAATAGTATTTTATCTAATTAAAGACAAACTTCTATGATATGCATAAAAAGTGATTTCAAAATATCTTCATATACAATTGAATCAATCTATATGTAAGAAACGAATATATCGACCCTTGCTTTTTCATTCAAACTGGCCTTGGATTAAAGTTGGCAGTAATGTACATGTAGAGATCATTATACATGTATTTTAAAAGTACATTAGAATAGTCAAGATTCAAATAATTATCAAATTTGATCCTTTTGGATAAATTAGGTTGGAACAAATCAGTTGCAATCTTCAATGTACAAAAACCCTGATGATGATCAATGCAGACATTACACCTTGAATGAATAAAAGAGAAATTCGTTAATATCACAATATTGATAAACGTATATCTTTAATCTTTTCAATTAATTTTAAGGCTATTTTGCATGCCGTTTTAGATTATGGTTAGCTAATGACATACTGTTCTCATTTAAAGTAATCAAATGAAAAATAACTTTACTTACCTATGATATACTCTAGATCCGTTTTAATATTCCCGAGAGAACTATTTTGAGCTAAAACATTAATGATTTTAGGTATTAGTACAATAAAATTTGTGTAGTTTATAATATTGGTTGGTGCAGAAGAGAATTCGAGTGCAGTACATAAAATTGTTGTTGAAGTCCATGAATTAAGCTTTTTGGACTTTTACTTAGAATTAACGACGTATATTGCCAGAAGGATAAAAGAGAGTGTTACTGTGAAATCGCAATTTTCGTGGGATTTTAATTTTTGTTGTTTTCGAGGTGTGAAGAGACCCACGAAATGTAAAAACCTGACATACATATCTACTCAACAATTCTACATCAACGAAATCAAATCCCAACGAACCAAGAGTTTTTCCTCAAACCACGAAAATTTGACCCACGAAAATATTTGATTTTACAGTATGCGAGAGAAAACTTACCCTCCGCTTCCCAACATGTAGGAAAGTTGGCCGGAGTTGCTGGATATTGATTAGAAGATTCTAGAAGTACCATTCCCATACCATTGGTGTTGTGAACATCGATGTGGCAGTGAAAAAACCAAGCTCCTGGGTTATCGGCCTTAAATCTTATTACGACGTATCCCCCGGTAGGAACGATAATGGTATCTTTTGCGGGAGGATTATCTAGTTTTAAGTCTGAAATTAGCCGGGCGTTTGATCGCCAGGTAGTATCTCTCCAGTTAGCAGAATTGCAATAATTTCTCGTGCCTTGACAAATGATATCTGAAGTTTGGTCGACAAAACTAGCTGAAGTTGGGTCGTATGATCCAAATCCTATTTTATATACGAAAAAATAGTGACCATGAAGATGAACTGGATGGGACCAACCTCTTCCTCCGCCTATATTGGTAAGGACAAACTGATAAACTTTACCGGCTGAAAGATTTACGGAGTATGTGCATTCACATATTGAGTCATCACCACAGTTAACACTGGAACATGGAACCTCAACACCTGAAGACCGAACTAAAATTGGAGCAGTAGGATATAAGAACTGGTGTCCATTAACAGATCCAGGAGTTTGTCCTTGCTCTCCTGGAAATGCAAAGTTAAAAAACATTGTTTCAGAAACAGTTTCTAATGATGAAGAATCATAACTTGGTTCGTTGCTGGTTGCAGAATCGTACGGGAGACAAGTTCTTTGGGTACTTGAAGGATAATACATGTATGGACAGTTGAAGGTTATACATGGGCATGGGTTTGAAGCTGCCCTGTACGGTGGATATGGATCAGTACTTCCTCTGTATATTATTAAGGCCTCCGCAGCATGGTAATCTTGTGCTGGATTCAGAACTTCAATGCTTTCAGCGACAAGACGGTATGTTCGTGGTGTTTGTGATGCATTTAAGAAGAAATCATATCTCTCTCCGGGATGAATAATAAAAGATTCAACATTGATATCTCTTTTATTTGCACCAGTTCCTTGGGCTATTTCAAAACCGTCAGAGGCACATACACTTATTTCTGGATGGCCTTCAACAAAAACTCGAAAAGGGTATAACGTTGCAGCACTAATTACTCGAAATCTGTATGTTCTCCCTTGTTCTACTTCAAAAATCTCCAGTGGAGCACCGTTATTTGAGTTAGGAGTACTGTAATACCTACCTTTACCATTGATAAGGCCTGAATGAAATTGGAATCGACTGAAATTAGCCCCATCTATTGACTGAGTAGTAGGTAATAAAACTCGATTTGGAATATCATACACTCCATTAAGCATTCGCTGATATAAAGTTTCTGGTTCATCATCGTGATTCCAGTCCTGTAAGAGGACAGTAAAACCCTGCTGTGGTTGTGAGACAGTTTGACTTCTTGGATAAATAATGAGCCCTCCATATAATCCCATGCTGCGCTGGTCTCCAATATGTGCATGGTAAAAACTGGACCCATATGGACTTGCTGTGAATCTATAAGTAAATGTTTGTCCTGGTAAGATTGGACACTGACTTATGAATGCCACACCATCATAATGAGGAGTTCCACGCTGATGCATTCCATGCCAATGGACAGTAGTAGATTCGGTGTGCATCAAGTTACGAACGTGTATAATCATGTTCTGGTTTTCGTACGCTTCGATAGTTGGACCTGGAAATCTTCCATTGACGGCTATTACAAGGCGAGAACCAACTCCATCAGCTGTTATCACGTTATCTTCATCTTCATCACTTAATTCAGTATCGTTGGTATATACCAATTTCCCATTATTTGGAGTGACAAGTACGGCCCCTGGGAGAGGAGTCATCATGGTAAGGCGGTGGTCTATAGTGAGTGAACATTCACATTCACTGTCAGTTTCCCTACAAGTATTTGCTTTGCAAGTTGGACCATTTGCAGGACTGCTCCACCAACTCTGTCCTTGGCATATCAGCATCACAGAAGTCAAAACAATGCAGTACAATCTAAGTAAAAAAAAGATCAATTTGAAAATAAAGGACTAAATTTTTAACCATAGATATGCAATCGGTACACAGAACAGACCATATATGACAACCTTAATAATTGAAAATGACATGACCGGTTAAGGAACTTTATTATTGCATTTCAGCAAAATTAACTTTTTATAGTGATTTTTCACAAATTTTTGAATTCTACTCTTGTTTCAGATCAGTATTGTTACAGACCATTCACACACACATGTTTTCATTAAAAACTAATATTTTATTGTCTGAAATTATCTATGATTAGGAGCAGCTGCAAATATGAACACAAATTCGTAACGGATGAAAGATGTACATACTGCTGTATACATAAACTTTATGATTAAGCATGTGCAAGGCGCCAAATCCTTATTTCTGTTCTGATTTGATATGCTTGTTCATTTGTTGTTGTCTTTCCATCGACTTATCTAATCGCATTATCTCATCAACAAAACGTATTCGGTATGGTACTGGATGATCAAATTATTTTTATCTCTTTTAAATCATTTTGGAAAACAAGCGTACCATACAGAACAAACGCATCATCTAAATGGTACACGAACATCACGTTATCCGACAATTCACTTCTTATATATAAAAAAATAATAAATTCGTCAGAATATTTAAACCTTTCAGTATTTTCAGCCAAATGGCAAATGCCTTCAATTTTTATTTTCTTTCAATTTTTCATGATAAACAGAATCCCTTAAAGAACAATACATTTCACACCGGAAAAGCCCATTATAATTTTTTTTCTTGTTTAAATCTATACAAGTACATCAAACATACATCAGTTAAAAATAACCTCATTAATTCATTAACCAGACAGAAATTCAAACAGGATCTTTGTTGTTATTAAATTTTACAAGGTCTGTGAAAAGTTTTCTCAAGAACAACAATAATTAGTAAAAATAATAATAAGTATGTAATTTTCTTTATCATGTGATTTTTAGAAGCTATGTTACGATTCCTGCAGCTATCATATCATCAGGAATAAAGTGATGAATAATAGATGTCTCACAAAAAGACTAGGATGTTGTCAGCATCAGTATTTAGTTGGACTGTGTTTAAAATTCCTTAGAATAAGTCTTTTATCAAATGGATAGTAAAAATAGACATTTTGTATAACTTTGAATAAATATAAAATAATTTTAACATTTGAGATAAGTTGACGACAAAATAAGAAAATTTGCCATTAAAATAATAAGTAGTAACTTACAGGTTTTGGTTTGTATCCCACCTCATCATCAATGTCCATGGAGTTACTAAAATAGTAATAATTTGTAATTTAGTTGCTTTTTTGATAACAACTGCTTTGCAATAAAATATTGCTAAATAATTCAGACAAAGATAATTTATTCCCACTGTAACTTGATAATTTTAAAAGAGGCCTTTAATCAATTGTTTAGGAAGAAAACCATTTAATTCCAACATTAAAACACCAGCTCAAGGATTTCAAATTTAAAAAAATGTCTGTGCCATGGTGTCAACAAAGGATCCTTATGTAAAACAGAATTCCCCAATTTTGGTTGAATTTTACTATTTATATTTTACTTTCACTATGGTTACAAACAACACAACTACCGTAATAAATATTTTATACACAGATGCATCTGTACCAGTCTATGAAACATAATGTAAACCAACTTTTATTCGCGTGCGTGAAATGTTCGCAAAGTTTGCGAAAGCCTCGCCATTGCCGCGAAACGTTCCTGAAAGGGCATGTGTCTATTAACAACTGATAGCAAATTAAAAAATTAATCGTCGCGAATTAGTTAATCCCTGGCAAATCGCCAAATAAAGTCGTCGCGAATAAAAGGTGGTTTACAGTATTTAGTAGATAGGCAAACCTGCGTTCTGTTTTTTAAAAGTTGTTTAAAATTGCATAAAAATGAAAAAAAGTATTGATATACCCTAAAACCTTGAAAATAAGCTGCGGCTTATTTTAAGTCTTGGTAAGTCTTATTTTCAAAACCGTCTTATTTTCAAATCGCGGCTTATTATCAGTGCAAAAAAAACTGGGAAGCGACGAAAGCATTATCACAGCTTATTATCCATGTTATCAATACAATAAATTGTAATTGATATATTGAGAACTACGTACTTGTTCCACTGTTTCTAAAAATGAAATATCCAGGTAAACTTCTGTAAGAGTTAAGTGTTCCAATGTCTAATTCCCATTTTAAAACAGTGAACTTTTAGTAATGCAACTGCTAAACGTACTCCTACTCCAAGAAAAAGTTAGAATAGAGAATTTAAGCTTGGGTAAAGCTTCAAAAAAGAAACACATTTTAGTTCAACTTCTTTCCTAAATGACATTGTCATGACTGGCTTATTTTCAAAACAGGCTTATTTTCGAGTAATTTTCAATGCAAGAAATAGGTGGTTAATTTTCAAAACCAGCTTATTATTTGATCCGTCTTATTTTCAAGGTTTTTAGGGTATATTCTTTGTAAACTTCCTGAGTCATCTGAGTGTATAGTACAACTTAAACTCATATTTTGTAACAGGGAGGATACAAAGTACATGTACTGTCTTTAAATTTGAGTGAAACTTATTTTATAGTACATACAGAATTTATGTTAATTGCTTACGTTAGGGTCCTTGAACACTTCCGAATCAGTATTGACCTAAAATTTCCTGTATGTGTTTGAAGTAAAAACCGTATTTTACGCAGTATTTTTCTAAGTATTTTTATGTGCGTTTTAAATTTTTAAAATTTTGAAATTTAATGCACATTCCTTGCATTTTGAACAGAGGCACATACGATCTTCTGAACTAAAACAAATTGTCTTTTCATTAACCCACTTTGAAATTAGATATAACGGGTAACGACATATTCAGTAGTATGTTTTCAAGGGTTGTGCAACACAGGTAGAAAATCAATACATGTGCAGATCAATTCTAGCTATGCAATCGAGAACTTAAAAGATAACTAAAATAGAAATCAGTTTTTTTTGTAATAGTGATGAATGATGAAAATTTGCACTATTCTTAGAGACATCCATTGGAGGGATCAGAGGAGGATAAAATTTATTTTGACAGATTTTTGCTAAGATTTTCAAAATTCTTTTAACTAGCATACAAACTTAATTTGTGCAGAAGTTTAAAAGTAGCAGTAAAGTTAAACGTCATGAGCATAGCTTACAATAACAAGGATATTTTTAAGTGAAAAGTTATATTTTTTGTTTGTGTTATTTTGGAAATTGTATTTTAAAAAATGCTAAATGCAAAACTTGTGGAATATTCCCTATGCATAAAAGTTTAGGGATGTTTCATTTTATAAATACAAGTACTGTTAATTGCAGAATTCTGAATCGGTAATATGAACACATTTCTGGTTTATGAATTTTTGATTTACAGGATTTGTGTTTTAAAATTTAAAAATTGTCTATCCTTGCATTTGGAGCAAAGGTACCAGACCAGACAAGGATGTTATTTGCATAAAGTGAGATGGGAATTCCGATTTAATTTTCCTTTGAAACAAGAAATAACAGGTAAAACAGGTTTAATAATTTATGTTTCAGGCTTTGTGAAGAACAGTTTTAAAACCAATGTATATGTCAATCATCAGTAATGTATTAGAGAAAAAAAAAGAAACAGACAAACTATTGCGTGTTTTAGAAGATATCCCAAAAGGGAGTCAAAAAGGTGTTATGAATATCTGACTAGTATGCTTTTTAAAAAAAAAATACATGTTGATAAATTTTTATTATTAAACTAGTTATTTAATTGCACCCTTTAAAATTGCTTGGTATTTTTTAAAAATTTATTTTAGAGATTATGCATTTTACTCTACACAATATTGCTGACAATTTCCACAGGCATAAAAGATAAAGGGAATTATTTCCATATTCACCTTATAAATTGTACATATTGCTTACCTGAAAGACCAAAATTCGATGTCAAACTTTTCTTCTGATGTTTTCCCCTGCTTTAATTTAAAATGATAATTTCTGCGGTCTTTCACACTTTCATGCACATTTCTTATTTTAGAACTATTTGTTTGTGCGTTTTAAAAGCAATTTAAAAAAATTACCATTCCTTGCAATTTTGTAAAAAGACACCAGACGCGTCTGATAACAAATAAACAATTTTGTCATAGTCCTCAGGCTAAAACTTTTTTTTTAAAATTAAAAGTCAAGAAATAACAGATAACAACAAATTCAATAGTTTATGCTTCAAGAGTCGCGTAATACATTTTAGGTTCAATACATTTGTGAAATATATCTGATAATGCATTGGAGAAATAAAAAGAAAACTTTCAAATGAAGAATTTTGTGACAAAAAAAAGGAAAAGAATAACATGTCTGAACGGATATGTTTTCTGGAAATAACTGTAAATACGAGGGGTGATCAAAAAGTTCTAGAACTATCTCTATATCTACAAAACCACAATTCAGATTAGAATGAAAGTTGGTACACACATAACCATACACAAGTTCTTTAAATAGCATATGCTGAATAAAGTTTTGCCCCTTCTTTGTGACGTCACAATGTGAAAATGACGTCACTATGTAGGTCACTTGTGACGAAAAATAGTTGTCTCAGTCGTACTCATTCAACAAACGACTGTAATTTGTATATCTTAGAAATCCCTTTGCCGTAGCATATAATAATTTGTACACAGTTTATTGAGGCAAATGAATTCCTATCAATTCAATCAATGATTAAATTGATTGTTTTAGTGAAGGAAGGCAGATGGTTTAAAATGATACTTGTTATTTTGCCCAGTGAAAGCAAGTTTGAAAAGAGATGTGTTTTTATTAAGCAATTTGCTATAAAAGACCTCCAACTTGCACTTTGAAAAATAGTTAAATATTTGAACAATAATATATTTATTAAATACCTTAATATTTATTTTAGATTTTAAACATATTAAATATGATAAAAAGGAGGCACTCATTCTCTTTCCACCTTGAATAAACGTCTCTCCCGAAACATGAGACTTGTGTTTCTATGGTCGCCATGCTTATTTTTGGAAAGGATATTTTTATCTACCCATTCTGTTGCCGAGATTTGATTATTTCTGACAAATGAACTGTTCTTATTATAAAAATTAACTAAATATCATTTATTTTAGTTTTAAAATTTTATCATTTTGTATATCTTTATATGGAGCTCTCCTTTTAAAGGAGATTGAAATAGTCTAAAAATGGCTGCCACCCCCTAGCCTCGTTAACATGATGAAAATATTTCTTAAGGGAAGTGAAACAACAATGATAACTACAAAAAAGAAATTATGTAGACTCCTTTTGAAGTCCATATCTTTGTACTTCGTTGAACGTAATGTGTGTCAAACTTAGTAATTCTGAGAAATTTTTACAACTACGAGGGTTGTAAAATCATAGACAAAGGGTTTTTTCTCGAAAAATAATGGTCGCACTCAGCTAAAATTTTTAGTCAATATTTATCTATTATATTTAAATACATTATATTTCTTTGATAAAATATAGACCAAAACAAAGATTTTATTAATCTTGAATGTGTGCAGGGTACTGTCACAGAGTCTGGCAAATGTGTTTCAAAGAAAATTTACTAGAAAAGAGATGTCAATGGTCATCAAGGGGAATGATGACTGACGTTTTCAATACTAATTGTTAGCATATTTTTGTATTCATATGAAGCAGAGTTTGTCCAAATTGTATACATGAAAAGAAGAAAACACTTGCTGTGGCGTCAACTCGACATTAAGATATATCGACGACGTATTGTCAATTACCAATGGTAATTTCCATTCTTATGTCGATATGATGTATCCCGGTGAGCTTGAGATAAAGATACCACAGAGTCTGACAAATCTGTTTCATATTTGGATATTTTACTTAAAAAAGGCATTAGTGGAGATCTAAAAACAAAGCTCTATGATAAACCTGATGACTTTAACGTTGAATACTTTATCTCCATATACTTCACTATGGTCATTTTTAATATATTGAAATTATCTACATATTTTTTTTTCGTTCGCCCGATCATGACAAGGAACAAATGGTGAGTTAGACCTTAGATATCCGTGTTTGCTCTGCTTTATGCTAATTATTAAACCATTTTTACACTCTAAATTTACTACGGATTTTTTTCTTTTCCAAACTTTGACTAGAAGCACGAGGCGGATAGGAACGTTCAACAAGGAATGCTAAATCCTATTTGGCATCTGATCCCATCTCTGATCTTCACAGTTCCATGATTGCTCTGTTTATTGCCTGACGTCACGGCGTCAGGCTGTATAAGGATTGATATTTGCAAGATCCGAAACTAATAGATCATACCTAGAGAGCTAGATTTTCTGCAAGCTGATTTACATTGGAATTCTTTACCTACATTTTAAAAGAAACAGTTTTCAGGGGAAAAAAATGGTATTTATGACGCAAAATACTGTAGTGTTTACGTCCTTTAATCTTTTTGCATGGGACGATTATTCCATGTGATTCATCGTTTCAACATGTCCGTGTATCCTTTTTTCTGCATTTCTATACTACTAGATCAGTCCATTTATATTCTACAAAAGGGGTGAATCGCTCTTTTTGCGCCAAATGTCACTGCTTTCTTCGCGCCTTTTCCTTGGATTGTTCTATTGTATGAATGGGTGTTCAAACTTCCATGGAATAGAGTTTATCCTTTTAACCTCCTTCTAATGTTTCAGAAATTCTGTCTACAATTGAAAGTTTTACCTCATTATTTTAAACAATATATTGTATAATATATCAATATGCGGACATGCAACAATAAAAAGAAATGATCTTTCTAATTTGTTTCCGATCCCGAGGTTGGTTTATTCCATAAATGGACTAGTCCAATAATAATAAACAACGCATTTCAGCAAAGTCATGGTCTCCAGATGCATGAACAAATATATATATATGTCTCTGTTCTGATGCACACAATAGATAAGAAACAAGTGCAGAATATTGGATTTTTCTTTCCACACAGGTCTAATTAAGTAGGGAATTTACATATTTCATTCTCAATATATATAGTGGGACTACACATAACTAATGCTTACTTCAGTGGAGAAAATACACTCCAACAAAATGTGTATTTAATTATATTCATCTTTTAGAATATTGACAATGCATAATTTAAATAATTTAAAAATCATAAGATTTTATAATACGTGTTACAAAGAAGTTCGAAAACAATTTAGATCCAAGGACAGATCACTCCACTTGCAGAAAACCACTCTATAGTATGCAGTGTGGAGATGATTCTTCTAAAAGTTAAATAAAATAATGATTTCATTTACGCAAGGTTCTCAAAAACAAAATCATTGCTCAAAAGGTTTATCACTCCTCATGCAGCTGATATTGATTGATTGAGTCAGGCAAGCTTTTTAAAAAGCTGTTACTTGTAATTTTTAATGTTTGAGTGGACTTTTGAGTGAGATTGAATGCAGTTCGTTTTTTCCATATTGCGTCGCAAAGAGTAAACGTTATCCCTAATAATTTCGAAAAGTAAAAATTATATTAGTGAAAAAAACATGAATACTCTCCTTATTGATTTCTGTGGTGTTTCCTGGATGTCCGCCCTAAATTTTTCAATGTCTATATCTGATTACTCAATCTTTAGCCTTAAAGGCTTGTCTTTTCTTGTCACCAATTTTTCTAAAGTGATCAAATTTAGACACAATACGGGAAAATTTTCCTGATCGATATCAATATAGAGATCTCTGTATCATTCATTTATAATTACCTTACTAAAGTACTTTTGTTGGTGACATCAACGCTTTAAATATGTAATTATGACGTCATAATATCTAATCTTTTGTTTTACAATTTGCTTTAATTTTACTTTCACAAGTAAGTATTGATATAGAATATGTTGTAATTTTGCAAAAAATTATTTATCAAACAAGAGGTCATGGGCCTCATAGGTCACCTGAGCATTATGCAACAACTTTCCATGATTGAATTTGATTCATGTTTTAAGCCAAATGCTATGGCGTTTTGAAAGAGGTACCATTGATCATCATAACAATACACTTAGCAGTTGCTTCCCAGATAGCATGACTCCGTTGGGCCAACGTTGGTTTTTGGTTGTATGGTTGGTAGAGTGTTGGCGTTGGGGAACAGATGTAGGCCCAACGTTGGTCCAACGTTCATTTACGTTGGCATGAAAGCTAAACCAACGGTGTTGGGCATGTGATGTTGGCCCAACGTTGGTCCAACGTTCATTTACGTTGGCATGAAAGCTAAACCAACGGTGTTGGGCATGTGATGTTGGCCCAACGTTGGTCCAACGTTCATTTACGTTGGCATGAAAGCTAAACCAACGGCGTTGGGCATGTGATGTTGGCCCAATATTGGCCCATTGTAGTAACATGTTGACAAGAACTATAGCGACTTGGTGTTGGACATTAAGATGTTGGCCCAACATAGGTCCAACCGAGTAAATGTTGACATGGATCAAGACCATTGTGTGTTGAGTATGAAATGTTGGCCCAACGTAGGTCTAACTGAGTACATATTGACACAAAACATTGCTACTTATTGTTGGTTATTCAATATTGGCCCAACGTTGGCCCAGCTTAATAAATGTTGACAATATAATGATTCATTGCACTGTGTTAATTGGGCGTGCTGGACTGAACTGGAGTTGATCGAATAGTAGGAATATTGGGATTACTAGTACATGTACAGGTAGCCTGTAATGTTTGAGATGAAATGCTGGTCCAACGTTGGCCCAATGTTGCGAAAAGTATTCATCAATTTAGATTTATCTATTGTAAATCGATGGTAATGATATAAGCAACTCATTATATAAACATGTGATCTATATTATATATTGAATGGAAAATATGAGACAATCCTGTGAATTACATATAGTAATTTTGTATCTTGGTAGATTCTATATTTAGCATCATTGAATCAAATTTAAAGTGCTGTACGTGTTTTGCATGTTTTGGGCTCCAAAATAAATGGGTCACTGGTGAAATTCACTGGCTCGGCAGGTGACTCATAGGTCTCCAAGGAAACCGTCGTCTTAATCAGTTTTTTTTAACCGCGCTCTTGAACAATGCAAAGCGTATGTGTCTGTTTAAGTGAACGCAAGAATTTTAATCCTTTCAATGTAAGTATAGCTTTTGTTTTTGTTATTGAAATAATTAATATTATTATACCTCATATAAATAAAGACAAGTAAAGAGGAATCTGATTGGCTGAAGCAGTCACGTGACCGTCGTGTTCGCCCTGCAACAAAACTTCGTGTTTCCCGCATTCGGTTCACCTCGCGGCGCCTGACTACGTACGCTATCCTACATCTAGATGTAATCAACTGAGGTGTACAGAACGTGTTTCACGTCGTGTTCCCCGATTGTGACGTCACAATGCGGCGAATGCGATGATTTACTAGTATACTGGAATTCGATTGTTTAAATCTTATAATAATTATCAGGGACGTAGTATCCGGGGGGGCCAGGGGGGGCCTGGCCCCCCCACTTTTTTCCGCAACATAACCTTTACTATAGTAAATGTTCATTGATGGGATGGTTGGCCCCCCCACTTGATAACCATAGTATAGTGATAGCAAGGAATGTAAGGAAAAAATTAGAAGTGGTAGTAAGTTGGCTTTGAAAAAGTTGGCCACTAACCCCCCCCCCCTCCCCCCACGAAATAGGATTTTCGAGTTTGGGCAACTTTTAATTTTGGTTTTTTTTTTTTTTTTTTTTTTTTTGCTTGTCAACTTTTTCAGGTAAGTAAAAAAATATTTTTCTCAGGTTGGCCCCCCCACTTTCAAAAACGATGCTACGTGCCTGATTATGTCAATATGAAATCTTAAAGTATAAATAGTTAGAGAAAGTGTTTCCATGAGTGGGGAATGAATGTTACTACACTGCAGTGTGTAAGTCAGAATGACTTGTCAAGAAGGGTTTTTTTTTATGAAACGCTAGTTGTGTGACTTACACCTATTGGTATTTCATTTTGTTCTCATCAAATGTTAACTTTATTTATTGGATTCTCTTTATATCTTCTGCATTGTGCTTTATTCGGTATAATAAAATAATTATTGCATGATAGTGAGGGAGACATGAAGATTTCTTCGCCCATGAAAAATCATATTCCCCTCGGGCGTTGCCCTCGGGGAATATGATTTTTCATGGGCGAAGAAATCTTCATGTCTCCCTCACTATCATGCAATAATTGTATAATGTGAAATGCACAACATTGTAATTGTTTTCGTTACTCAATATCCATAGGCAGGGTAGAGGAAAAAAATGCAACTAATCAGTAATATTCAGCAATAATCAGTGGTGGCCCTACCACCAATGAACCCCTGACCCTTAGACCTAGATCCACACATTGCACAATTTTTGAAAAGACATCCTTGCTTTTCAAAAATATTTGATTAATATCAAGGAGCAGATTTCAAACAATTCATGAATTTTCAGTCTATAGGTACGCCCTCCCCCCTCTATGGTACCCCTGACCCTGGGGCCTTGAAATTCACAATACTGGAAGATTAGGACCCTTGCTCATAACTATAAAGGTAGTTCATCTGCTTAATGCCCAGAAGCAGAGACTATATAATCAATAGAGCCCCGCCCTTACATTAGAACCCCTGACCACGGGACAATAAAATTCACAATTTTGGTAAAGGCACTCTTGCTCATCATAACTATGTACTTAGTCGGTTTATTTAATACCCAGGAGCAGAGAAGAAGATTTTCAAAGAATTTATGTATTTTCAATATATAATCAATAGAGCCTCGCCCTTACATTAGAATCCCTGACCCTGGGGCCATAAAATTCACAATTATGGTAGAGGCACTCTTGCTCATCATAACTATGTACTTAGTCGGTTTATTTAATACCCAGGAGCAGAGAAGAAGATTTTCAAAGAATTTATGTATTTTCAATATATAATCAATAGAACCTCGCCCTTACATTAGAACCCCTGACCCTGAGGCCATAAAATTCACAATTTTGGTAGAGGCACTCTTGCTCATCATAACTATGTACTTAGTTAGTTTATTTAATACATAGGAGCAGAGAAGAAGATTTTCAAAGAATTCATGTTTTTTCAATATATAATCAATAGAGCCCCGCCCTAACACCAGAACCCCTGACCCTGAGGCCATAAAATTCACAATTTTGGTAAAGGCACTCTTGGTCATCATAACTATGTACTTAGTTGGTTTATTTAATACCTAGGAGCAGAGAAGTAGATTTTCAAAGAATTCATGTTTTTTAACTATATAATCAATAGAGCCCCGCCCTTACATCAGAACCCCTGACCCTAGGGCCATAAAATTCACAATTATGATAGAGGCACTCTTGCTCATCATAACTATGCACTAAGTTAGTTCATTTAATACCTAGGAGCAGAGAAGAAGATTTTCAAAGATATGTATTTTCACTATATACTTATTTAGCCCCGCCCTAGCACTAGAACCCCTGACCATAGGGCCATAACATTCACAATTTTGGTAGAGGACTCAATGCTGATTACAATTGACTGCTTGATGTCCATGAGTAAAGAAGAAGATTTTTAAAGATTGTAATAATTTTAGTGGTTTTGGTCCCACCCCGCAGGCCCCAGGTGGGCAGGGATCATGAAAATCACAATTTTTGTTCCACTTCACCCATAGATGCCTTGTGCCAAATTTGGTTGAAATTGGTTCAGTGGCAGAGAAGAAACTGAAAATGTTCAAATGTTAACGCACGACGACGGACGAAAACGGATAGCAATAGGTCAACTGAGTTTACTTCGGTGGACCTGTTTGTTGAAACGCTCTGATTCAAATGGTGGTGTTGTAACATTATTCCTTCAGATTTCAAAATAAATCCAGTCTGTTTCATTAAATTTTGTTGCCAATTGGAAGAATAAATAATACGAAGGCAGGAAAAAAAACGATTGAGATATCGTGTTTAGTCAGATCTATTCAAGACTCATTCCATCCATCAATATTACAATTATAATATTCTAAAAATTCAATTTCAAAGCATGATAAAATGGTTTGAAAGTTTTTATGCATGTACCTTTTAAGCTTTTTGGAGAAAATTTTGTTGATTATGAACAAGTGCTGTTAAGCAAAAGACGAATATGAAGCTGTACTTTCACGGAGAAGTTCATGATTTCTCACTCCATCTCTTCTTTTAAGGTATTTGTATGCAATAAAACACACAACTCCAAAGCCTAAAATAACTCCCAAAATTATGGCTGCTATTTTGAAAGGTAAAACTGTAAAACAAAATAAAAAGAGAAATTCTATCACTCAAAACAAACATGTAAATATTTACCATATGTTACACTTACACAAATATTTATGCTATTGATAAGTGTTTTCATTTCATTAAGTGATTTATATCCTTGATTTATCAAATGTAGTATTCTTGATAAAGTTTGATTTATATGACTACTTATCAATATGCCCATAGATGGTAGTTTGTATTAAGTACAAAAAAATTATCAAAGTAAATGTAAGGATGTTATAATTTCATTGTCATTATTATAATATTTAACATTACCAATCCAAAATGTTTTACTAGATTAACTGAAAACAGTAGGTTGTCTACAATTAAATAAAAACAGTACTTTGAGAAAATAAATATCATTTAATGTTGATTTTTATTTATTCCTTCACCAGTGACTATTGAAATAATCGTAATTTTTTCCATCGTGTTTTAGTTTTTGTTATGATATATTAACAACATGAGCAAGCACTATTCATTTACATGTAAAACAAGAAAACCTTAGTAAAACTATTTTCTTGAGCATTTTTCTCTTCTTCTAAAATTAGATTATCAGTTATTATCAATAAGATTACTTGTCCTGTTTTTTTTTCGAATTTAAAATAAAGTAATACCTTCATCATTTGTGTTAGAAGAACTGCTTTGAACATGCCAACATGACTGAAAATTTTCGGGTTCCGGTGGATAATTTTCCTTTGCTTCCAAAAGAACCATGGCCATTCCATTTGTATTGTGAAGATCTATGTGACAATGAAAAAACCAAGCGCCAGGGTTATCGGCTTTAAATCGAATCACAACATACCCACCTGTCGGCACGATGACCGTATCCTTCTTAGGTGGAAATTTTGTTTTTAAATTTGTTATAAAAGATGCATTCTTGTTCCAAGAATCGTTTCTCCATGAGGCTGAATTGCAATAGTTTCTCTTACCGGAACATGCAATATCATCTGTTTGTGTAATGAACTTTCCCGTGATGTTGTTGTATGTACCAAATCCCATTTTTAAAACATAAAAGTAATGTCCATGGAGATGAACTGGATGCGACCAACCTTGACCTTTTCCAATGTTTGTTAGAACAAATTGGTAAACGTTATTTTGGACCAGTTCTACAGTATATGTACAGGTGCAGATAGAATCATCGGTGCAGATTGAACGATCGCATTCCGACGATATTCTCTGATCTGAAAGAAGAGGGAATTCGGGAACCTCAAATTGATGTCCGTTTACGGAACCGGGTGTGTATCCAGACTCTCCTGGAAATGCAAAATTGAAGAACAGCGTCTCATCTACATTTTGAACTTCGTCAAAATTCGACGTAGTTTCATTGCCGAAGGCATCGTCATAGGAAAGACATTTCCTATTGGTTTCAGAAGGATAATAGAGGAAGGGACAATTAAATGTTATACATGGGTTTTCTTTTGAACAAGGATTATAGGTAGCTTTAGATGGATACATGAAAGGTGATTTTTTATACTGAATGATGGCCTCAGCTGCTCGATACTGGTTTAGGTTAGGAGGAATAACTTCAATACTTTCTGCTACTAACAGGTAGGTTCTAGGATTTTTATCTGTTTTTAAGATAAAGTCAAATCGTTCTCCTGGATGGATAATGAATGATTCTACTATTAAATTATTTGATTTGCTGCCAAAACCTCTTTGAATTTCATATCCATCTGAGGCTATTATGTTCAACTCGGGATGTCCTTCAACGAAAACCCGAAATGGGTATAGGGTGGCAGCGCTTATTATTCGAAAGCGATAATGTTCATTTGGTTCCACAAGACAGGTCTCCAATGGGGCTCCGTTATTTGATGTAAGCGTGCTGTAAAACCGACCCTTTCCATTAAAAATTCCGGAATCAAAATGAAATCGACTAAAGTTTGCACCATCGACTGCTTGTGTGGTGTCTATTTTGGTACGACTTGCTAGGTTGTAAACTCCTTTTAACATTCGTTGATATATTGCTTCCGGATCATCACTATGGTTCCAGTCTTGCAAAAGAAGGGAAAAGCCTTTTTGTGGCTCAGACAAAGCTTTTCTGTAAATAACAAAGCCACCATAGAGTCCCATACTTCTTTGATCTCCAAGATGTGCATGATAAAAGAAGGAACCGTGTGGATAGGCATTAAACGTATACGTGAAGCGCTGTCCTGGGGGTATAGGGCACTGCGTAACAAATCCCACACCGTCGTTATGTGCCGTTCCTCGCTGATGTAGACCATGCCAGTGAATTGTCATTGAATCTGTGTGCATCAAGTTACGGACATGGATGATCATCTTCTGATTTTCATAGGCTTCCAGTAAAGGACCCGGGAATTTGCCATTGATAAGAATTACAAGACGTGAACCATATCCATCACCTGTGATAACGTTTTGGGTTATGTTCTCAGGCAATGGATTTAAACCTCCCGTGTCATTATAACGGTAAAGATGTCCCTGTTTTGGCCACACTAAGAATGGATCGGGAAACGAAGTCATCATTGTCAACCCATGTTCTATGGTAAAAGAACATTCGCACGTTTCATCAGATTCTCCACATGTACCGCTTTTGCATGTAGGTCCATCCACTGGACTTTTCCACCAGCCATTAGCATACGTCATTGGAAAAATAAGAATTATACTAAAAAAGAAAGGCATCCTTCCTGCAAGATGAATATAGCATTAAGTATGATTAAATAAAATGTACAATTAAGCCATAGTTATGAAGTTACAATAATCTTGATTTTGCTATAACTAACCAGTGATAGAGTTTCAGAACATCTTCATCCAGTTTTTAAATTACGAAGAAGTTGATTCATCAAATCATTAAAATTTAAATTATCATGCTCATACACAATGTATTACAGCAATTGATGAGTAATTGTCTTTTCATAGATTTATAGAGTAAGTCTGACTAGGTTAACTTAAATTTTTACTGTTAAAGTCACGCTGTCTATCTTCTAATGTTACTAAATAGATATGTTTTCAAAAGGAGTGTAGTAAGAAACTATGTAAACGTTATTCTCCCAAAACCCATTATTTATCCATTATTCGGTATTTCTACATTCGTCTTTTGAAGAAAAGGTAAGAGGTCTTTTGAGATAATTTTCAACAATACACGTGATTAAATCTTCAACAGTAATTAAAAAGATAAACGCAAATAAACTATTTTATTCAATTAAAGACTGACCTTAGTTGTCTTTCTCTTACAGAGAAGAGACTGGAAGTTAGCGGAGCGTGAAGACTGTTCCAAGGTGATCAAGAAACATGAGTACCTTGTGTAAATACGTAATTCGGCTACTTTTCAAGTTACATGTTTAGTATGCAGACTATTTCTGCAATGCAGTTTACTTTTAGTACATTTTGAACACTTAAAAACTTACTTTAAATATATATACCAAGTGTAAGAAGTCACACATGAGGAAAAGGAATGGTTTTAGAATACTTCATATATCTCTTATTCAAACAGAAAGGAGGAAAACCCATGTACAGTGTAAATGGTAACAATACCTTTCGTGTAATTTGAACAATTTTAAAGGGAGAAAACCTTTGTAGGTTGCACAATAAAATCAGTGCACCGTGTTTTCAATTGCATAATAATCAAAGGCAGTCTTATCAGTCATTATTTAACAAGTTTATGTAATGGTCACCTAGCTATTCGTTACAAGATAAGAGCAAGTTAATTTAATATAAGTTTGGATTAACTGTGCTTCATTATTCCTTTAAATTAGGTGAGAACCTAAACTTTATTCAAATAGTAGTCCCTATTACACAATATTTTTCAAATTGGTTGTTTGATCTTTGGTTGACGCTGATTCGGCAATATTTCAGACATATTTCGAATTCCTTTCAAATATTAGACGCAATGAATGCATGAATAAAACTAAAAAAAAGGAGACAAATTGAATCTTATTCCATACATTTATTTCATTCATATTCGACTTTATGAGCCTTTAAAGTTTTTAACAGAATACCATTTTAGAAAAATGAAAACAAACTTTGCAAATTTATTTATTTTTTAAAATCTTCAAAATGTTTCTGCCTTTTTATAGGAATATGGTAATCAATTTTGCATATTATGATATGCTGAGGATGTACCTTTTCCAGAGATTATCGAATAGGATATTTATTCTAATTTTGAAAAAAAATTTTCCTTTTGTTGATTTAATAAAATTTTTAAAAGTCCAAAATTTGTCATCGATTTTAAACGCTTTCAGATCTTTTTGTGCTAGGAACTTCTGCAACAAGAAATTTTAATCTTTTCGGTCTCATCCAAAGGACCAGTGTCCACGTACGTTCTGCGGTGAGTCTTTAACACCTGACCTTAGGATTAACTTATTAAGCGATTCTAAAGCAAACACTCTAACCACTGCAAGGCGAGGGCTACTATGAGACGAGGACACAGGTTTGTCTCATAATACCGAAGAAATCGAGATCATGTGCCGCAGTAGATGATCATGGATGTCACAAAAATACTCCTCATTGCTCAAAAGTCATAATTTCTGAGTTAATATCTTAATTTTCAATGGTGGCGTCAAAACATGAGTAAAATAATTGAAAGGATCCGGGAAATGCCTTATCTCAATAAATACACATGTGTAATATACTGATTTTTTTTTTGAGTGACAGATGAAAATGTTAGTTCCTTTGCACCAAAATCAGTGTTCAGAATTACTCAGCCGTAAAATGTATGACGTCACGTAGGGAAAACACTAAAAAGCCCAAAACACGTGCAAATTGATGACGACGAGTTTGTCAACAAATTTTGTTGTAACATTTGATGCACCTGAGGTATACACATTGTTTTTCAATATTTACGGACGATATGAATTTCTTGCAATCCTGGTACAGTGTACGGAAGATCCATAGGGTCTGGTTTTCGAAATACCTAAGTAAGGACAACGGCAACAAAGGTCTTACCCGTTGTCAGAAAGCGCCTGGAATGGTTTCCAAGTAACCGTGACGATGACGTTGACACGAAACAGCGCCGCGTTAAGATCGGGTTATTCGTCCTGCCACCAAGAGAACCAAGGCTGTGACAGATGCGCGGGAAAGTAATAAAAGATATGGAGAATTTTTTATTTTCACTTTTGGGTGTATCGTCATATGAGTTTCAATAACTCATGGATTATACGACAAAATCAAAAGGGATTTAGCTTAGATTTTATTTAAAGCTGATTTTAAAAAGTTAGATGGGAATAATGAAATATAAAGAAAAATTAATTTAATACACCTCAAACGTTTATCCTGCGTTTCTTTTTCTTTTCAGTATATAATAAAAGCCTTGACACCAACTGTTCCTCAAATTATGGCCAAGATTAAGTTTTTCAAAAGTATGTCAAAACTAGTGCTAATTGTAACGGGAACCGTTACAGATGTTCCCCAAACGCTCCCCAACTCCCTTTCGGTGCCATATTCCCTGTAAGCTTCATTAAATAAGACAAACTCTGTGCATTTTTGACTTTAACAACGTTTTTCCAGAAGGATACCAATTATATTCAATATTTAGCATTGCACCCAAGCGCATGTGAATGCATGTGCGTTATGACCATATCATCTTGTTTTTCAAGAGTATTTTTAAATATACTCGTTTAAAATGCACGCACGTGCGTGCACGTGCATGATGATCATACCTTCTTGCAGGAGTCCCTTACATCTATCTATGTTTTAAATCCCATCCTGTTTGGATGAAAAACAAGGGAGTTATAGCCATTTAAAGTTTCAGCCAATCAGATTGCAGCACACGTGCATGCGCGTAATTTCATGATTTTTTTATATCATTTTGTAGGATATCCTAATGCATGACTATATTTTAAATTTCAAACAATTTCGTCAAAAAACAAAGGAGAAATAGCAATTTAAAGTTTCAGCCAATCAAATTGCAGCACACGTGCATGCGCGTGATTTCATGATTTTTTTCTATATCATTTTGTAGGATATCCCAATGCATGACTATATTTTAAATTTCAAAGAATTTCGTCAAAAAACAAAGGAGATACAGCCATTTAAAGTTTCAGCCAATCAGCTTGCAGCACACGCACATGCGCATGCTTTCATGAAAATTCTTATATATCATGCGGTAGACCATTATAATATAGGACTATGTTCAAAATTTCAAAGGATTATGACAAGAAACAAGAAAGTTATTGATACTTTAGTTTCAGCCAATCAGAGCAAAGCGCACGTGCATGCGCCTGAAATCTTGCTCTTTTGACCATGCTATCTTGTCTATACTACTAATGTATCCTTACATTATGAGTTTCAAAAAAAATTCATCAAAAAATAGAAAAGTTACGGCAATATCCATTATATTGGTAATTTCACCTAATGCACGTGCGCGCTCTTGCAAGCACGTGCGTGCAAAATGACCTTTGTTTGGCAACTCTACATAACATGCCTACTAACCCTAAAAAGGTTTCACCTAAGTCGGATGTGTAGTTTACAAGATCACTCGTGGACAAAATTTTCCCAGGAAGAAGAAAAATAATAATAACTAGAGCCGAGCTCGTTGCAAAGCAACGAGTAGGTCTTCCGTCCTGTTTGACCGGAAGTACATCTGCAACTTTCATTTTTCAAAAAAAAAAAAGAGTAATGAAGTCTAAAAATGGTTTAATCCTCCAAATCTATATTAATGATGGCAATATTAAGCCATTTTGGCTACTTCCGGTTTGACCGGAAGTGACGTCGACGAACAAAAAATTAAGATTTAAGCTTCCAGTGATATATCTAACCCAAAAACCTGTCAAAAACGGCAAAAATATGCAATTTTTGACTACTTCCGGTTTGACCGGAAGTGACGTCACCGGACGTATTTTGACGACCTCATTAGATAAAGCTTGACATTTTGAACAAATTTGCTTCTTTGACGTATAACAAATTCTCAATACTTTTTGAGATATAAAAGAAAAACTTTCGGCCCCTTTTGGCCCTTTATTATAGGGACCAGCCCCTTATTGTTGATATTTTTAGAAAGATCGTGACATTTTCTACAACTTTTGTTCTATATGTCTTTACAAAATGTTAACATGTAAAAAGATATTGCAGAAAAGTTGTCAAAATTTTCTAAATCCTCGATGGGACTTTTTTTTAGCCATAGCGAGCGCCGACGTGCAGCACTTCCGGAGAAAAAGATAGGTGTATGTCACATCAGCACATGATGCTCTATCATCGCTGAAAATTTCATGCTTCTGTGTTATGTGCTTTTTGAGAAAACTGCCGGACAAAGTGACCCTCTGAAAATCACTAAATCGCGAAAATCTCAAAACCGGAAGTGACGTCATCAAAACAAAAAATTATATATCAGCTTTGTTTGATGTTCTATCAGTCCTGAAAGTTTCATGAAAATCGAGCGAGCCGTTTCCGAGAAATCGTGTACACAAAATCGGTAAGAAAAAAAAACAATAATAATAATAATAACTAGAGCAAAGCTCGTTGCAAAGCAACGAGTAGTTCTTCCGTCCGGTTTTGACCGGAAGTGCCGGAAATGACGGAACAAAAGAAAGCAATAAGCTAAGTAGTTTCCAGTGACTTTATAATTTCAATTTTGCATCAAAACCTTCAAAATATGCCATTTTTTGCTACTTCCGGTTTGACCGGAAGTGACAACGACGGACGGAAAAACTTTTTTTATCCTCCCAGAGACATATGTAACCCAAAAGCTTGACATGAACGGCAAAAAAACGCGTTTTCCGACCACTTCCGGTTTGGACGGAAGTGACGACGACGGACGTTTTTTGACGACTCCAATAGATGAAGCTTGACATTTTGAACAACTTTGCTTCTTTGACGTATTACAAATTCTCAATACGTTTTGAGATATTAAGAAAAAACTTTCAGCCCCTCTAGGCCCTTAATTTTAGGGGCCAGCCCCTTTTTGAGATATCATTTGAAAGATCTTGGAATTCCACGCTTCTTTTGTTCTATATGTTTTAACAAAATATTTCTAGGTTAAAAGATATCGAAGAAAATGTGTTAGAAATTTTGAAATTCACGACAGGACTTTTTTCGGACCATAGCGAGCGCCGACGTGCGGCGTTTCCGGAAAAATCAAAATGCCAAATGCACATCTACAGACATAGGTCTATCATACCTGAAAGTTTCATGTTTCTATTTTAACCCATTTTCCAGAAAAACTCTGGACAACCTGACCCTTTAAAATTCATAAAATCGGCAATATCTCAGACCGGAAGTGACGTCATCAAAAAAGAAAAAAAACGCATAAGGTTTACGTGATGATACATAAGTCCTGAAAGTTTCATGAAAATTCATCAAGCCGTTTTTGAGAAATCGCGTGCACAAAATCGGTAAGAAAAAAAACAATAATAAAAGTGAAAAAGAAACCTAACAATAACAGAAAG